CCCCCCAGGCCATCTGGCTGCTGTGCACGGGCGCGCGCGAGGCCGCTTTCCGCAACATCAAGACCATCGCCGAGTGCCTGGCCGACGAGCTCATCAACGCGGCCAAGGTGACGCGGGGGGTCCCGGGGGGACGCGGGGGGGGCCCGGGGGGACGCGGGGGGTCCCGGGGGGACGCGGGGGGTCCCGGGGACGCGGCGGCGGCATCGGGAGGGGACACGCTGGGACATGGGGGGCCCTCGAGGCGCGGGAGCCCCCGGCCGTGAAGGACCTTGGAGGTCCCGTGGAGGTGCAGGGGGGTTCTTAGGCTGGCGAGGGTCCCCCAGGGTGCTGCAAGGGGGGCGAGGGGTCCCCGGGGGTCAAATGGGCCCCTTGGGGGTCCCCAGAGCTGGTGACAGGTCCCCAGGGGTTAGGTGGGTCCCTTGGGCTCCCTGGGGGTCCCTTGAGGGGGTCCTTGGGGGTCCCAAGAGGTAGTGAYGGGTCCCCAGGGGTCAAATGGGCCCCTTGGGGGTCCCCAGAGCTGGTGACAGGTCCCCAGGGGTTAGATGGGTCCCTTGGGCTCCCTGGGGGTCCCTTGAGGGGGTCCCCGGGGTTCCCAAGGGGTAGTGATGGGTTCCCAGGGGCTAGATGGGGTCCCTTGGGGGTCCCCAGGGGTGGTGACAGGTCCCCAGGGACCTAATGGGTCCCTTGAGGAGGTCCCTGGGGATCCCTTGGGGTCCCTTGAAGGGGGTCCTTGGGGGTCCCCAAAGCTGGTGACAGGTCCCCGGGGACCTAATGGGTCCCTTGGGGGTCCCGGGGGTCCCTGGGGGGGTCCTTGGGGTGACACGCCGCCTGTCCCCCCCCCCCGCAGGGCTCCTCCAACTCCTACGCCATCAAGAAGAAGGACGAGCTGGAGCGCGTGGCCAAGTCCAACCGCTAGACAACACCGCGACGGCGCCAATAAAGTTCAGTCCTCCTTCCCTGCGGACGTTCCCGCCTCCAGATTGGGAAGCGGGTCCCTGCCCGTGGGGTGGTTGTCCCCGATTCACCCCGAGGGCTCCTAAGGGTGACCGGGAATCTCCTTCCTGGGTGCCGAGAGCTTCCCGGCTGTGGGAGATCCTGGTGGGATCCGGGAGAACTTCCCGGCTTTGGGAAATGCCGATGGGATCCAGGGGAGCTTCCCGGGTTGGGGAGATTCCAGTGGGATCCAGGGGAGCTTCCCGGGTGTGGGAGATCCTAGTGGGATCCAGGAGAACTTCCCGGCTTTGGGAAATGCCGATGGGATCCAGGGGGGCTTCCCGGCTCTGGGAGATCCCAGTGGGATCCAGGGGAGCTTCCTGGATGTGGGAGATCCCGGTGGGATCTGGGAGAACTTCCCAACTGTGGGAAAATCCTGATGGGATCCGGGGGAGGTTCCCGGTGGCCCCATACAGGCCTAGGACACCCCGGCGTCCGACTGTGTCGTCTGTCAGGCGGCCACCGCCGGTGTCCCTGGGACACCCTGGCGTCCGACTGTTATCTGCTTCACCCACTACACCCAGTTCTTCGAGGCGCCAGGTTGTGGTCACACCTCCTGCCGCCTGTGCGCGCCCGGTTGTCCCCTCTGCCGCCGGTTGTCCCCTCTGCCGCCGGTTGTCCCCTCTGCCGCCGGCCCGCGGTCCCCGTTCCGTGCGCTACAGTCGTCCCCGCCGCGGGACAGGCGCCCACGGTGACGCTCAACCCGGAGGGGGGACAACCGCCGCCACGGTGACGTCTTCTTTGTAGACCACCCCAGTGTCCCCCCGCGCGCCGACTGACTCCCTCCTGCCGACTGTTTCGGAGTGCCAGGGGCTCCTACAGCCGCTGCGTTTGAGGGTGTTTGTTGGGGTGTGTGGGGTGACTTTCCTCCCTCCGGTTGTGTTTGCGGGGGGTCCCCAACACCCCATCCCAACACCCCATCTGCTGCGGTGGTGCCTGGTACAGCCGCCGCCGACCCCTATCACAGGCGGCCCTGATGCAGTCCGGAGCCTGGCGCGGTGACGCTGTTGGGGTGTGCTTTGGGGGTGTACCGCCTGACACCCGCCGTACCCTCGTACAACCCTTGGGGACGGTTGTAGCTCCGGGCCCTTTTCTTGGCCTCGCTGTCACCCCAAAGCACAACCCTCACGCTGGGGGAGGGAGGTTGTGCCGTGGCTACAACCGTCCAGCGTTTCGGCGGTACCGAGGGCAACCGCCACCCCGGCGGGTGTTGTTGGGTGGGGGGGTTGTTCGCTTGATGGTTGAACGAGATGACAGAGCCGTGAGAAGAACCAGAGTCCGGTTGTTCGCTAAAGTGCAACTGTACATACAAAAGACGAGACCTCCGCCGCCTGACGCGTACAACAGTCGGTGCGTTCGGGACAGTAATCTCGGCGGACGGAGCGGTACGTCCACCGACTGTAATACAGCTCGCCGGAGCCAACCACCGCCCCTCCGCCTGTGCCCGCCCCTCTGTGGGGCTGGGTGTTAGCGACAGGCGGACAACACCCAGCAAGCAGCCCCGGCTGTACGAACAACCGGCCCCAGCCGGTCCATTACAGCAACCCGACCCCAGTGTGCAATAAGGTTTGATTGTACGTACAAGTAACCAGAGAAAATTGTGCACTACAGTCTGACTAAGCAACTAGACTCAGTGGTATGCTACAGCCTGACAGTAACTTACAGGCGGCACCGCTGGCCGCTTGTGACACAGCCAGCTGCCCCTCCCCATTGTACTCGGCCCTGCTCCCCCCCACCGTCAACCGCATCAACAGGCGGACTCGCTCCTAGGCTACAATGACACTGTACAGGGGATTGACTGAGCGCGGCCGCCTGCTACACCCGCGCCGCGTGTACCGGGAGCCCGGCTCCGGCTGTGCGCAACAGCGCGCGGTGACGCAGGGGAGTCGTGTGCGTGTAGCGGGGCGGGTTGGGGCGGGACGCGGGGTTGGGAAGGGGGTAGTCCCGTTTTCCGGGCCGTCCGACTGTTACAGTCGGCGCGGGGGGACAGGAGAGGGGTTGGGGGGGGTACTTTCCCTGTTAATACAGCCCACCCACCTTCAGCCGTGCTGACCTTAAGGAACAGCCCTTTCCACCCGCCCCGCCAACAGGCGGAGGCGGCTGACGCCTACCCCCGGCCCCTCACTTGTAGAGCAGGTGGACGCGGCTGCCGTCGCAGTTGCTGCGGCCCAGCTTGTCCGCCTGTTCGGAGACGAGGCAGCGCACCAGCGGGAGGCTGGGCTGGTAGAAGTGGTTGTCACCGTCCCGCGCGGTGTTGGAGGACCGCCGGCGCGCCCGCACCTGCTGCCGCTCCTGCAGCTGTTGCCGCAGCTCCGACACCCGCTCCTCCTTCTGTAGGGAACCGCCGGGAGGCCGCCTGTAGCCGCCGCCTGACACCCTCCCGCGGGCCTTGCCGGCCGAGCAATGGGACTACCCCCCTTGTTGGGGTGTTGGTGCGCCTGTAGCCGCCGCCTGACACCCTCCCGCGGGCCTTGCCGGCCGAGCAATGGGACTACCCCCCTTGTTGGGGTGTTGGCGCTGGTCCGCCTGTACCTGCCACCTGTACCTGCCGCCTGACACCCACAACACTCCCACAGGGGGTTGCTGACCGAGCAATGGGACTACCCCCCTTGTTGGGGTGTTGGTGCGCCTGTACCCGCCACCTGTACCCGCAACCTGACACCCTCCCACGGGGGTTACCAGCCAAGCAATGGGACTACCCCCTTGTTGGGGTGTTGGTGCGCCTGTACCCCCCACCTGTACCCACCGCCTGACACCTGCCGCCTGACACCCTCCCACGGGGGTTACCAGCCAAGCAATGGGACTACCCCCTTGTTGGGGTGTTGGTGCTGATGTGCCTGTACCCACCGCCTGTACCCACCACCTGACACCTTCCCACGGGGGTTGCCGGCCGAGCAATGGGACTACCCCCCTTGTTGGGGTGTTGGTGCGCCTGTACCCGCCACCTGTACCCGCAACCTGACACCCTCCCACGGGGGTTACCAGCCAAGCAATGGGACTACCCCCTTGTTGGGGTGTTGGTGCACCTGTACCCCCCACCTGTACCCACCGCCTGACACCTGCCGCCTGACACCCTCCCACGGGGGTTACCAGCCAAGCAATGGGACTACCCCCTTGTTGGGGTGTTGGTGCGCCTGTACCCCCCACCTGTACCCACCGCCTGACACCCGCCGCCTGACACCCTCCCACAGGGGTTGCCAGCCGAGCAATGGGACTACCCCCTTGTTGGGGTGTTGGCGCCGGTGCCAACAGCTCCGCCCCACCGCCTGTCTTCCGGCTGTGCGGGCGTCACCCCTCACCTCGGCGATGATCTTCTCCAGCTCCCGGTTCTCCTTCTCCAACAGGCGGGACTTCTCCTCCTCGTTGTTGTTGGTGGACGAGCCGGTCTTCATGGTGTCCTGCTGCTCCGACTGCCACTCGCCGCGGGTGATGAGGCGCCGCATCTGCGGGAACAGCCGGCGGGAACAACCCCCGCCCCGCTCCCACAGCCGGCTACAGCCTCTGCCGCCTGTCGGAGCCGGCACCCCGACGCTACACCCGGACACTGTGCTTCTACAGCTCGATGTCTACACCTGGAGCACACCAACACCTGGCCATGTCCTCTGCCGCCTGTTGGAGCCAACAGCCTGACGCTACACCTGGACACTGCGCTTCTACAGCCCTTCTACATCCAGGCTTTGTCTTCTGCTTGTCAGAGCCAACACCGTGACGCTACACCTGGAGACGGAGCTTGTACAGCCCCATGTCACCCCTGGAGCACACCAACACCCGGCCATGTCCTCTGCCGCCTGTTGGAGCCAACACCCCGACGCTACACCCGGACACCTCACTTGTACAGCCCTGTGTCACCCCTGGAGCACACCAACACCTGGTGATGTCCTCCACCGCCTGTTGGAGCCAACACCCCGACGCTACACCTGGAGACAGGGCTTGTACAGCTCCGTGTCACCCCCAGAGCACCCCAACACCCGTCCTCCCTCTGCCGCCTGTCGGAGCCCGCCTCGCCCGCGCCCGTCAGGCGGAGCGACAGGCGCCGAGCCCGGTACCTTGGGCACGAAGAGGACCACGAGGGTGATGTAGGAGGAGAAGACGACGGCGAGCGAGGCGAAGGCGAAGGCCGCGTCCTGCTGGCTGCTGAGGATCATGGTGACGGGCGCCGTGATGAGGCACAGGACCTGCACCGGGCGGGACGCGCGGCGCGGGGTCAACACCGGCCGGGCGGTTGTTGCTTGGGCGCCGGTTGACCCTGCCCGGCCCGTACCGCCACGTTGTAGATGGCCATGCCCACGGCGCGGTGGTCGTTGATCTTCTCCGTGGAGACGCTCTTGGTCTCATAGGCCAGGAAGATGCCCAGCAGCAGCAGGAGCCCCTTGAAGCCGTAGAATATCCCTGGGAAGGGGTGGGGGTGGTCAATGACGGGGGTGGGCGGCCCCGGGGGACCTCCAGGGTCACAGAAGCCCAGAATGGTCAAGGGTGGTTGGACCATCCAGTCCAACCCCATCATGGTTGGGAGGAACCTCTAGAGATCATCCAGTCCAACCCATCATGGTTGGAAGGGACCTCTAGAGATCATCCAGTCCAACCCCATCATGGTTGGGAGGGACCTCTAGAGATCATCCAGTCCAACCCCATCATGGTTGGGAGGGACCTCTGGAGATCATCCAGTCCAACCCCATCATGGTTGGAAGG